GTCTCAGCAGGGAAACCCAGACTTCCCTCTCCCCGGCCACTTCATCCAGCTCTTCTAGGGGAATCCTGAGGTGTTCCCAGGCCAGCCGAGAGACATAGTCCCTCCAAAGTGTCCTGGGTCTTCCCCGGGGTCTCCTCCCAGTGGGACATGCCCGGAACACCTCACCAGGGAGGCGTCCAGGAGGCATCCTAATCAGATGCCAGAGTCACCTCATCTGACTCATCTCAATGCGGAGGAGCAGTGGCTCTACTCTGAGTCCCTCCCGAATGACCGAGCTCCTCACGCTATCTCTAAGGGAGAGCCCAGCCACTCTGTGGAGAAAACTCATTTCGGCCGCTTGTACTCGCGATCTTGTTCTTTCTGTCACTACCCATAGCTCATGACCATAGGTGAGGGTAGGAACGTAGATCGACTGGTAAATCGAGAGCTTTGCCTTTTGGCTCAGCTCCTTCACTACGACAGACCGATGCAGTGCCCGCATCACTGCTGACGCCGCACCGATCCGTCTGTCGATCTTCCACTCCATCCTTCCCTCACTCGTGAACAAGACCCCGAGATACTTAAACTCCTCCACTTGGGGAAGGACCTCCTCCCTGACCCGGAGAGAGCACTCCACCCTTTTCCGGCTGAGGACCGTGGTCTCGGATTTGGAGGTGCTGATTTTCATCCCAGCCGCTTCACACTCGGCTGCGAACTGCTCCAGTGAGAGCCGAAGGTCACGGTCTGATGAGGCCAACAGAACCACATCATCTGCAAAAAGCAAAGACCTAATCCTGAGGTCACCAAACCGGAGACCCTCAATGCCCTGGCTGAGCCTGGAAATTCTGTCCATAAAAGTTATGAACAGAATCAGTGACAAAGGGCAGCCCTGGCGGAGACCAACACTCACCAGAAACAAGTCCGACTTACTGCCGACAATGCGGACCAAGCTCTGATACCGGTTGTACAGGGACTGAACAGCCCTTATAAGGCAGCCCGGTACCCCATACTCCCGGAGCACTCCCCACAGGACTCCCCGAGGGACGCGGTCAAATGCCTTCTCCAAGTCCACAAAACACATGTAGACTGGTTGGCCAAACTCCCACGCACCCTCCAGGACCCTGCCGAGAGTATAGAGCTGGTCCACTGTTCCACGGCCAGGGCGAAAACCACACTGCTCCTCCTGAATCCGAGGTTTGACTATCCGACAGACCCTCCTCTCCAGCACCCCCGAATAGACCTTACCAGGGAGGCTGAGAAGTGTGATCCCCCTATAGTTGGAACACACTCTCCGGTCCCCTTTCTTGAAGAAGGGGACCACCACCCCGGTCTGCCAATCCAGAGGCACCACCCCCGATGTCCACGCGATGCCGCAGATGCATGTCAACCAAGACAGCCCAGCAACATCCAGAGCCTTGAGGAACTCCGGGCAGATCTCATCCACCCCCGTGGCCCGGCCAACGAGGAGCTTTTTAACCACCTCAGTGACCTCTACCCCAGAGATCGGTGAGTCCATCCCCAAGTCCCCAGACTCTGATTCCTCATTGGAAGGCGTGTTGGTGGGATTGAGGAGGTCTTCGAAGTATTCCTTCCACTGACCCACAACATCCCGAGCTGAGGTCAGCAGCGCACCATCCCCACCATAAACAGTGTTGATGCTGCACTGCTTTCCCGCCCTGAGACACCGGATGGTGGACCAGAATCTCCTCGAAGCCGTCCGGAAGTCGTTCTCCATGGCCTCGCCAAACTCCTCCCATACCCAAGTTTTTGCCTCAGCGACCGCCAAAGCCACGTTCCACTTAGCCCGCCGGTACTCATCAGCTGCCTCCGGAGTCCCACAGGCTAAAAAAGCGCCCAGCCAGGGGGCGGTAAGTATGCCCACCTCTGCCCGGCGCCTCTCCCCGTGAGCAACTCCAGAGTGGAAGAAGGTCCAACCCCTTCAAGGAGCCCAAGCCGTGCGTCGAGGTGAGCCCGACTATATCTAGTCGGAACCTCGCGGCCTCGCGCACTAGCTCAGGCTCCTTCCCCACCAGAGAGGTGACATTCCATGTCCCTAGTGCTAGCTTCTGTAGCCGAGGATCGGACCGCCAAGGTCCCCTCCTTTGGCCACTGCCCAACTTGCACTACTGCACCCGACCCCTTTGGCCCCTCCTACAGGTGGTGAGCCCATTGGAGGGGGGACCCACATGCCTTCTTCGGGCTGTGCCCGACCAGGCCCTATGGGTATAGGCCTGGCCACCAGGCACTCGCCATCGAGCCCCACCCCCAGGCCTGGCTCCAGGGGGGGCCCCAGTGACCCGCGTCCGGGCAAGAGAAAACGTAGATCCGTGTTTTTACTCGTCATAAGGGGTCTTTTTGAGCCGCACTTTGTCTGGTTCCTCACCCAGGACCTGTTTGACTTGGGTGACCCTACCAGGGGCATAAAGCCCCAGGCTACTTAGCTCCTGGGATCACTGGAACACGCAAACCCCTCCACCACGATAAGATCTCGACTCCAGGAGGGGCCGGTAGATGCATTAAAAATAAAAAAAAAAATTCAATTAATGCTTGAAAATGTGAACTGACTATACCTCTCACAGGCTCTGAGGTATTCCAGAGTGTAGCTGCTGTCACACAGAACGCCCTGCCACCCATAGAGGATAATCTGAATTTAGGTATAGTAAGAAGTAGAGTATCGGCGCCAATCCAGACCTATTTGATCCACGTTCTATACTTACTTATTTAGTTTTTGGCAATCTCTAAAAAGATAGCTCCTATTTCGTGTTAAATATATTTGTACAATCAATCGCACGACAACTCTTTCCCATTTTACATGGGTTTTTTTGTGGCATTCAAATCGAACGCTAACGCTGCCCCTCAGTCTTTTTTGCTACTCAGTGGGTGTGAGTACAGTGACTTCCGCCTGCTGTGACGTCATGCGCATACCCTTTGCAGTACGAGGAGTGTAAGATAAGACGTGACGATCTGGGACTATTTTACGCTTTTAACAGAAACCAGTAGCACAGCGATTTGCAATCTTTGTAAAATAAAGTTTTGATAGGTGGGAATAGCGTTTAATGGACAATCCCACTTAACAAAGAGCACGCAACTGTGCAAGACAAAAAAAGCAATGGATCATTTGGGAGTCGTTAACTTGCACTGTCTTGCGAACTCACTGCAGCTTGTGATACAAGAGGGGCTGCCATCGCAACAAAGTGTAACAGCTGACGCCAATGAGAGAAAAATTGTGTTAAAATTTTAAGAATTCGCCACTTGTGTATACTTGCTTTGAAGATATTGATATTGAACTGCAAATGCCTCAAAAATGCTTAAAACAAGACGTACAAACGAGGTGGAACAGTACGTTAGGTATGTTTGTAGTAGCCTAATTAAATATTTTTTGTCATACATTTTTTCCATCTGTATTTACTATCTTAAAAAATGAATATATAAAGTATAACAAAGTAAAAAGTGCTCTTGTATTGGAATCTGTATCGGTATCGGCAGTTGTGTATCGGAATCAGATCAGAACTGAAAAAATGTGGATCGGCCCATCCCTAGTAAGAAGGTTGGAGCCCGATGATCTTAATTTGCGAGCTGGCATCTAGGGAAGAAGGTCCAACAGATATTGAGGGGCAAGTCCAAAAGTTCTGCAAATAGTGCTTCTGTAAACATTAGATGCTATGCTGAAGTAACCATAACTTCAAAATGAAAACATTAACCATTTTCTGTATTTATTTGTTTATGTATTGTATGAATTTAATCTGTCTCAATGGTGCAATGTTCAGTAGTTTGAAATAGAACTGTTCTGTACAAGATAAAATGAAGGAGTAATTGTAAAATGTTCAAATGCCTATGGCATATGTATGGGTTAATGCACTCCAAGCTGTACATTACGCATGAAGCTAAGTATGATATACAGTGGGTACGGAAAGTATTCAGACCCCTTACAATTTTTCACTCTGTTATATTGCAGCCATTTGCTAAAATCATTTAAAATATATTTTTTTTCCTCATTAATGTACACACAGCACCCCATATTGACAGACAAAAAAAATAATTTTTGAAATTGTTGCAGATTTATTAAAAAAGAAAATCACATGGTCATAAGTATTCAGACCCTTTGCTCAGTATTTAGTAGAAGCACCCTTAAAACAAAGTAAAACAAAGTTACTTGTTGCTTGTATATTAGTTGTTTTGTGGGGAAAATAATTGGCATACTCTAAGTGAAAGCCAAAAGTTAAAAACACTTTGATTTGTAAATACTGTTCTTGTTGATTTTGGATAATCTTTTGTATATACTGGAAACAAGATTTTTTTTTTGTTCTTTTTTTGTCATCTGCCCCTTATATTGTGTGATCGCCCTGTATTGTAAAATAAAATATTAAAGCACAATTTGGTATTATGCCAGCAGTTCTCCTGTGCACACAACCAGGAGCTTGGGGATTCAAATCTCCGCACACACACACTCGCAAAATAGAATTCCAGGTGTGTGTTGTTATATTTTCTGTTTGTACTCATTTTAGGTGTTACTTATTTTTAATATTTCTGAAGGTTACAATTTCACAACAGATCTATGCCCAACTCAGCCCACCACCCCAGTTATGTTTTTTTTTGTGGGAAACCCACAGTTTGAATACCTTTAGTATATAGGGTGAATATCGGTGTCTTCCTGTTGGCTGTGAGACATGGACACTATGCTGACATATAACAGAACAGTACCTGGATATTGGACAGTACATTGAGATACAAAAGGCAAGCGGGAACCTGATGCCTATTTATAAATTTGGTAAAGTTTGACAGAAGATGGAGGTGCTTTTAACTGCATTTCATTTTGGTCTGTGTTAAAATTCTGAAGGACAAAACTTTTTGTTTTAACTAAAATACAATTTTATGGTATCAAAAGTCTCATAATTTCAATCACTTATGCATTGTGAGGTTGTAGCACCTTTCTTTTCCAAGCATTATTATCTGTACCATCCTTATGGTATCCATATTTCATTGCTACTCGTTGAAACCTGCCTCTGTTTGTCCTTGCACAGGCTGACCAATGAGGACCGAAAGCTACTGTGGGAAAAGCGCTACTTCTGCCATGCAGAGAGCAGCGGGTTGCCTCTGGTGTTGGCCAGTGCCCCTAACTGGGAGTGGGCCTGTCTGCCAGACATCTATGCCCTGCTCCATCAGTGGGCTTGCATGAACCACTTGGACTCACTGGGCCTGCTGCATGCTATGTAAGAGCCCCTTACATACACAAAGGGTGACAGTTTTGATGAATTTCTCCATATGATAGTGTGTGTTTTTAAAAAAGTGTTTTGGCAATGTGCACATCTGTTGTCATTGATAAGAAGCTACAGCCATGCCAGTGTGTGCTTACATTTACAAGTGCCCTTCCTATGCGGCATATTCCAGATTCCCAGATCAAGAGCTGAGGCACACAGCTGTCCAATGGATGGACTCAATCTCGGATTCTGAGTTGCTGGATTTCCTTCCTCAGCTGGTGCAGGTCTAAATGGGTCTTGCTTTGGGTCTTCTTCTATTACATGCTCTGGTTGCATAGCCTAATTTTTTTGCATTTTGTTTTACCTCTCAGGCCCTGAAATATGAATGCTACCTGGACAGTCCTTTGGTGCGCTTCTTGCTACGGAGAGCAATAGGAGACATTCGCATTGCACACTACCTCTTCTGGTGCGTTTCATGTGTAAATGAAATAACTGAGATATTTTGAAGTTAGTTTTAATTTCTGCATGGTACTCAGATTTTTTTCTCTTTATGCATGACATTTCCTCCCTTCTTAGGCTGTTGAAAGATGCTCTGCAGGATTCACAATTTAGCATGCGCTACCAGTACCTTTTGGCAGCACTGCTGTGCTGCACAGGCCGAGGCCTGCGGGAAGAGCTGGATCGCCAGGGCTGGCTGGTCAGCATCCTGGCTAAGGTAGCCCAGAACGTGAGGGACACCTCCCCCTCCACCAGACAGGTTAGGCTCCTCTGTGAACTTGTCTTTACTGTCATCCTAGAAAGGAGTATCCTCAGTACTGAGCACATATTGGCTGTTTTAAGCATGGATGAAAAATGTTTGTACAAGACATTTAAAAGTATCTTCATCTATTCCGTGTCCTTATACATCTTTCCCCTGCTATCTGAAAATAGAGTATTCATAGAAAACCATTCCTAAGCTGAAATGGTGTAAAGTGAAGAAGCAATTAGTGTTATTTTATATAGGAAAATTTTGTGTTCTGAGACCAAAAAAAATAACTTTCCAAATCAAACCAAATAACACTAACATATAACAGGAATGCATATATATATAGTTTGTATAAAGTAGAATTAGTGTATGTACAGTGTAGTTTTACTTACCAGGATCAATACAGTCATGTGTCGCTTAATGACAGGGATACATTCTGAGAAATGGTCATTATGCCATTGTGAGAACATCATAGAGTGTACTTATACAAACTCAGCTAGTATAACCTACTACACACCTTAGCTATATAATCTAAATGACAAGAAATTCTGTATAATAAATACATTAAGTAGTAACATAATTATAATTATCATGTATTATGTACTGTTCATAATTGTATGTGCTATACTTTTATACGATTGGCAGTGCAGTAGGATTGAGTACACCAGTATCACCACAAACACGTAATGCATGGTGCTGTGACCTTATGATGGCTGTGAAGTCGGTAAGCAATAGGGATTTTTCATCTCCATTATAATCTTATGGGAGCACTGCTTCCGTTATTGACCGAAACGTCATTATGCATGGCATGGTTTTTTTTTTTTATAAAAGCAGTTATATTTCGTTAATGAAAGTTGGAATATAGTATTGTAATGAACTTTGAGGGGGACCAAGTTCACTACAGAAAGGAAGGCTCAACACAAGGAGTTCAAGTGCAATTTGACCATTTATTTACCAGCCTTGAACAAGGCTAAAGGAACGTGTGCGCCATCTTGCGTTTGGAGGTTGCACTGCACTGATTCACCTCATAAGTCTGTCCTTTCTCTCCCCCTTGCCGAGCGAGCCGCGCTCACTGTCATTAACCCTTAGGAGTCTGAAGGTGTTTTGGAGCCCTGAAGAGATTCTGACATGTCCTGACATTTGTGTATTTTTCAGTTA